GTAACTTTCTCAAGGTCACACAGCTATTGAGTGGGTACTAGATTCAAACCCAGTTCTGATTATAGAGCCCATGATTTTAAACACTACGCTGTATTCCCTAATAAGCAATAATTCTACTTGATTTCAGGATTCTTTTGCCATTTTCTTTTGAAGAGGTCCAGGCCCCCAGCATTCCGGAGAGCAATGGATGCTGGACTTATTTTCTTTCAAGGTGGGGAGATGGTGCAACAAAGAAATCAATTGGCATTCCTGTGGTCTACAGCGAGCGAGTGACTGAACGGGGCTGTTGGGGGAGAGAACTTAAGCTCTTGCTTATGAATTTGACTTTGATTTAAGAGGCAGCTGAGAGCTGCTGTGATTTCTGACTGGTGCTTGCTGAATCCAGAGTGGGTTCGGGTTGGATTAATGTCACTGTCCTCTGTGCGGGGAAATGCTGCTGCTTGATAATAAACAGGTTTGCAGAGTTTGGCAGAAAATACCACTGTTGCCTACCAACCCCTTCTGTGCTGGCACAGTTGATGGACTGTCCTTAGGTTTACGACCTGGCATCGGGAAAAACTTTACCTCTTAGAATCTAGTTAAAGAATATCTTACTCCCTCCCTACACCCCCCCCAAAAAACAGAAAGAAAGCCTTGTAAATGTGCTACAAATTTGTGCACCCCACTATTTTCTCTGTAGTCTGCCAGTTCTCCCAAGAGAATGCCCAGTGAAATGCTGCAGTCAACTGACAAAACAAAACAAACCAACCACAAACACCAACAGCCCCAGGACTCTCTGCTGCTCATAAGCGTCATTTGTAATTTGGGGATTTACTGCACAATTTATCTTCAGTTTCGGCTTGTTCATTTCTTAGCGACAGAGATGTCAGGAAAACATCTCTGCACCTGTTGCAACATTTCATTTATGGCTGGAGACAGACACAGACACACACATATAGAGTATCATCCCAATTTTAGCATATGTGCTATTGAATCAAGCACATGTACATATAAAGCATCATCCAAGTTTAACATATGTCCTGATAAATTAAACAGCATCATATATAGACACACAAGATTGCAAGTTTGGAAGAATCCTAAGAGGTCATCTAGCAAGGCCCTCCATCCTACTTCTCACTCCCTGGCAGTGGATGCTTAGAGTATCTTTATACTGAGATGCGAAGTCTGGGCAGCTCCATTAATAAGTTGCTTACCAGCTTCTAAGCTCTAAGCTTACCAATTTTTGTAACAAAAGCCTTTGGGGGCTACTGCTTTCTCTGGAGTGACTCAGAACAAGGGATGTCCTTTTCCATACAGGCCCTACCCCCTTGCCCTTCAGGGGCTGAAACTTCTAGCCCCACAGTTCCCAGCTAGGACCCTTTCTGCAATGGCCCTCGTCCCCTCTGACTGCTCCATTTTGATGGCATTTGTTTCCAAGGTTCATTTTCCCCGTCAGTGTGGCCCTACCTACACTGTGCTGCTTCTCCCTGCCCACCAAGCAGGCAAAGGCTTCCAGGAGGCCGGGCCTCTGCGGGCCCACTGCAGTGCCATCACTCTGCTTGCCAAAAGCCATTTGAGGCAGCAGGTAAGTGGTTGGAGAGGTACATTGAGTTTCTGAGAGGCACCAGTCTAGCTAAGGCAGAGATAGGCTCTAACTTAATAATCTGCTCATCACACACAGTAAGAGACACCCTGACTTATTCAAAGACACCGTGGGCGGTGCAGAGGATGAATAAGCATGATTCACTGCCACTCTGGCACCCGGGGCACGAAGAATAATAAAACCCAAAGAATTGTAGCTGCCTGAGTAGTAAATTAAGAGATCCAGGGCTCAGCTAGACTCTAGACATCAATGTTACCATGGCAATAAAGGGCTCCAGCATTCAGCAGCTATTACAGAGCAGGCATCTAATAGGCTAGTCCATGTCACAGCCAAAGCCCAAGGGGCTAGCAAAGAAGACCAATTAGCATATCCATTCATTAGGGGCCTCTGCACACTTCTTCTCTTAATTCCAATTAGTTGTTTGTTTGAACCAGTGTTTCTTGTCTGCATTATACTCATTAGTGCCTTTTAGCCACCGGAGATAGGCTCGAATCTCCACAAGGACCTCACAATTTCCCAAATCTTCATTCCCCCCCCCCCAGGGGTAGGCTTATACAGTTACAAACCCACAGCTTTCAATCCTTTGAAATGAAAGCATCTCTCACTGTACAACTGTACTCGACAGATGGAAACTCTGCTCAGGAATGTGATGCGCTAAGGGTTCTTCCTGGAACCCAGTGAAGGAGGGATCTGGGGCCATTATCTGGACCATTCAGGTCAAGGAAACCCTCTGGCCTTAGCCAGTGATCCTGCTGGCTATGCCTGTTGGCCACTACTCAGAGGCTAGCTATTCGGGAGGGGGGACTTTGGGCACCAGGGACCAGATTGGCATTGTCAAAGTCTGGCAGTAACTGTTCCGGATTGAAGGCCTGCCCTTCAAGGTCCAGCCCAAACCCCGCCTATTCCGGGAAGCCTTCCCTGATCGTTGTAGCCCTGAGTAAGTTCTCCCTCCTCTGTGCACTTCCAAAAGGACATCCTATGCTGGGCACATTCATGGGCAGCCTCAGGCTCTAGCTTGTCCTGGAGCTACCTTACTTCAGATTCTATAGGTCATTAATGTTGGAAGGAACCAGGGTTCTAGAGAGCATTCAAAAACATCTGTGGGACCCCAATGGCAAACAACTCTCAAGCTCCACGGCACCTGACCTCCCTGATGAGCTAGTCAACCCCTGGGTAGGGAAAGTACACAGTTGTTCTTTGATGGCTCTGAGACACATTGTGCCCTCCCCCACCCCCACATACACAATTGTGGAAATGGCTCACAAGAACAGATACCATGTACCAGCTCGTCTTGTGGTAAAGTCAAAGATTCTCTGAAGGGTGCTATGATCTCTTCCTTTCTTTGGGAACAGCAGGACCCAGTCCATAAAATTGTTTCTGTTCCCAATTGCCATTGTCACCAGTCATGTGATTTTACTGGAGTAGTAACCCAGGGACTTACAGAAGCAGCTGCTAACACCTTTGCCTAAGGAATGCGCATGCCGTTTTCAAGACTTGAATGATTTTGCCTTTGAACCTGCTGTTCTACTCCAAGCCCCTCTTTCTTCTCTCTTGCTCTATAGCTACTGCTTCACTAGCCACCCATTGGCCACTTCTGGCTCAGTTGTGCTGCACTGTTAAGCCTATTGCTTTTTGTTTTCAAAATGGGAAGGAATGGTTTCTCCTTTAACTAGAGTATTTCAAGTGTGAACTCATACAGATTTTTGTCTTTGACATTCTATGGGATTTGGTTATTTTACCCCGCCCAACAGCTGGCATTCCAGAAGGCAGGAGTTGAAATACATAGCAAATCTATTAAAGTATATATCAAACCACCAATTATCCAGAATGCTAAGGAATGAGAGATTCTGGAGCATGAACCATTTTGTTATCTGAGGTCATGGTGCTCCCACCCTCTTTCGTCTCTCCACTCTCAGCTTTCAAAATGTCAATAAAATCACTGTACTCTTTTCTGCTTTATTAACACAAGACCAGTTAACCTATCCTTTGTTTGGTTTTTGAGGCTTCCAAAGGCCTCAGGAATCACACGAAGGACTGACGATGCTGGGCGTGGTGCCTCATGCCTGCAATCCCAGCATTTGGGGAGGCTGAGGCAGGAAGATCACTTGAGCCCAGAAGTTCAAGACCATCCTAAGCAACATAGCAAGACCCTATCTCTACAAAAAAATAAAAAAAAATTGGGTGGATGTGCTGGTGTGTGCCTATCCCTAGCTACTCAGGAGGTTGAGGCAGGATAATTGCTTGAGCCCAGGAGTTTGAGGTTGCAGTGAGCTTTGATTATACCATTGCACTCACTTTTGCCTGACAGAGTGGGATTATGTCTCAAAAATAAAATAAAAATAAAAATTAACCATAATTGAAGCCATTTTCATCAGAATAGTCCAGACTTAGACTTATGACTAAATTCCTCTATCTAAGCTATTGTGTTGTTTTTCTTGGTTATGAATATGCCCAGAATCTCAGTATCTGCAACATTCTCAGCCACCTGGGTGTAATGGGGGGTGATTTGTGAAGGAAGGGTCACAAAATCTATCCAGGCCTTTTAGCCACCCGGGCTCCAATGGGGTGGACCAGACAGACAGAAAATGCTATATAGTGTTTTTGGCAGTTTCTACTAATTTTTCTTTTGTTGGATCCCACATTGGCTTCAGGAGTTATATATGTCTGGGAAACTGACACTGCAAAGTTCTGGCTTGTTCCCTTCCCTGATGCTAAGGGATAAATATAGATCTAAACCACTAGAGAAATTTGGCCAGGATTCCAAGGGGTGTGTGTATGAGGGGTAGTGGCTGATGGGGCCACTCTGACATGTGGGCTAGGAAAAGGCTTCTTTAATGTTCAAGACTCTCTTTGGAGCAGGGAGGGGTAAAGCAGGAGCCTGGCCTCTAAAATGAGAAAACATACTCCACATTTTAAGAAGCTCAGGGATTGACACAAATAAGGAATATTGTAGGTGGCTTAGAGTGTGTGTGTGGGGAGGGGAGCACAGGGAATCTTTCCTGACACCCTAGATCCTTTTGGATGAGATCAGCCTTATGAAAAAAGCAAGTTATTCTTGGCCATCTCCCCTCACCCCCAACTCCCACCCATGCCCCACCCCCTGCACACACTGATATCCAACTCTCAATTGAGAAGAACATGACTTAAGATTTCCATTGGGCCCATCATATCTCCTCTCGAGTGCTGGAGAAGGGCAAGGGGTGGAAAGACACATGAAGCAGGGAGGGGTGAGCCACTCATCCTCGTGACCCAGAATATCTCCCCCTCCCTGTAATGATGAGCTTGCTTTTCCATAAGGGCTTTCCCTTCATTCGGGGAAGGGGCCAACCAATGAGAGAGGGGCATGTTAGATTATTTTGGGGAAGGGCTCATGCTAGTAGGGTTCACTTTTACCAGGCGCCAAGTGTCCCCGGCAACCAGTGTCTCCAGTACCAGTAGAAGCTCCAGAACTCTCACTTGCTTGCCTGCCTCTGCTGTCTTTGCCCACTGAATAGCCATGAGAAGGCAACTCCGGTCCAGAAGGGCTCCAGCCTTTCCTCACAGTTATCGCTACAGACTTGTGAGTCCCAGGGGGTCAGAATGTTTTGCTCCTCCATTCTGTAATGGGGAAGGGGTTGGGGGCTGTGTAGTCCTTGGTTTATGGCTGCCTCTCCTTCAGATGGGCAGAAACAGCAAAGTTTAGGGAAACCCAGGATTTCAGAAAGGAGTATTTAACTCCTAGAATCCCAGGGCACCCTAAATAGCTGGCTGGAAGGAGGAAGCCCCTCTTCCTGTGGAATGAAGATGAGGGACTGGGAAGAGACCAGAGAATAAGGGGACTTCTAAAATTTTTTTCTTGAGAGTCTAGAATTTGAACGGACCTTTTGAAGTCTGGGAGTAGAGGTTTCATTTTGATAGCAAGAAATTTAACCAAAAGAGAAGGGAAGAGGAAGAGGAAATGAAAGGCACTGCCTACCCAGCTGTCTCAGTCCCTTTGGGTGGTAGTTTCTTAAAACCCAGCTGCTTTTTTTCTGAAGCAGAAATTTCAAACTTGAGCTAAAATCTTAGAATCACTGATAGGAGCTGGGAGGAATCCTAGACATCATCTCTCCAGTATCCCTCAGTAGGTAAGAGGCTGCCGGGGCTCAAGAGCTTGGGAGGGACTTGCAAGTTAGTGAAGGAGCCAAAGTGAGAACACAAGTCTCCTCGCTTCTAATTGTGTGTTCTCTTTCCATTGTCTGTGCAGTATGCGGCTCTCTAACCCCCATCTGCCACCCCACACTGCCTAACACGCACCACATTCTCCTTTGGTGTCACCATTTGTCTCCAGGGTGCATTACAAATGATTTGATCTAAAAGTTTCTTTACATTTACTTTGCTATAAATCATTAGTATGTATGACACACAGTACTTTTTGGTGAGGAAGATTCTGAAATCTTCCCCAGAGAGAACTGTGATCTGAGCCCCAGGAGGAAACAAACTCTAATCTATTTTTCTTTGGGTATGGCCAGTTATAGAACCGTGGAGTGAGGTGACGGCTGTCAACAGTCAGCAAAAGAAAACACAAATTCTTCTAACTGCATACCAACTTACAGAGGGCTTCCCTTAGCTCTCTGGGCACAATTGGTAGAATCTTTCTTTTGACTTCCCCAAGGTTCCTTCCAGCTCTCAGAGCAGTTACAAGCTGTGGGGCATATATAACTATTTCTTACCTGCTGCTTTTTCTATGTAATATTGCTGAAGTGTTGTGCATAATTTCAGTTATTTGTCAAGTGGCTTGGATTTTACATGCATCAGGGGATCTTGCTCTTTATAATACTTGATAAAAATTAAGAAGGAAATTATTTGATGCACCCATGCACTACTATCTCTTTTAAAATTATCCAGTGATTCAAATGTTTAAGAGTGTTACTCAATGTGGGGTACAAATTTATCCTTTAGGTCATACTGTTTGTTTATATATTTGTTTATATATTTATATATTTAGATTGCTCAAAATGGAGCCACGATCTGCCCTTCAGATTCTTCCCTTTTAGGGAAACATGATGGCCCCAGTACACACCCACTACCATATTCTAGTGTGTGTGTGTGCGCGCGCGCACACACACACACACACACAAAGTCACGGAAAGGTAGTGCCACTTTAGGAAACTGACAAAAACAGAATCTTAGGGATAGTCTTGGGGATAATCACCAAAGGATTCCCCACTACATTTTGTTAAATAGTTGCACGAGAGTGCATTTTAACACAGGATTTAATTAATGAGGAACTTTGGGGGAAGGCCTCCCTTGAACAATGTGCCGGTCCTCTGTACCTAGACATGGGAGAGAAGAAAAGATTTAAGGTTCCCAAAGGCTCAGGTGGTAGGAGAGCTGTGGAGAGAAATTAGCTCTGAGACAATCAATTCTTCCCATGAGGGTAAAGCTTTAACGACAAGCCATCTTTAATGAGATTATCACAAGAGTTCATATCTACAAATAAGATCAGGCCAAGGCCAATGTGAACCACCGTATCTGTGGAGGAGAGGTAAAAGGCAGTCATAGGCAAGGAGAGGAGAAAAGAAATTTATTCGGAAAGTATAAAAGGAACATAAATTTCTCCTTGATAAAATGTTATGCTTAAAATTCTCTGAGATTCTGAGGTACAGTAGATTCTCTGGGGGCCGTGATGACTTCCCTCTCCAGCACATATGACTGCCAGTTTAGGATGACCAGCTCTGTGAGAGCACCCCTCCAGAGTCCTGCATCAGGAGTTTGAAGTCAGGCATGTATCACTGTTATTTAGTCAGGACTCACTGGGTACTTGGCTGTGGGCTTTATACCCTGGAGGCCATCAAGAGGTTAGAAAACATGCACCCTGCTCCCTGGGTGCTCAGAATGTAAATTGGGAGTTCAAAGATGTACACAGGTCCTCGCATAAGTGAAGGAGATTTAAGAACAAATGATAATCCATTCAATACGGATGAAGAGGTTGGATGAAGTTTATTTTCCTAATCTTTACATTGTGAGTCCATAGCAATCAGAAGTCCTTGCTTATTAATGCCTGCAATCTTTTTGGAACACAGAACCTGAGACGTTGTTGTGCTTCATAAATCTGCTAAACTACCTCTAGGCACTTGTGCTCAATGTGATAGAAGAGAAACATCATTGTCCAAGGTATCAAGAGACACAGGCTCTGAGACTGTCAACTCTGTCACGAACTTGCTGCCTGGCTTTGTTTTGATCTTGTCTCCTCTTTGGGCCTCAGATGGACAAGCAAATCTTGAAGGTCCTTGTCAGTTCTAATAGGATGTGTGATAAAGAGCTGTACATTGGAACAAATTAGAGAGCATTTCAAGAGTGCTTATAATCAAGAGCTAGACAGTTCTGGGCAGGCTGAATGCTGAAAGATGAGCCTTGTCATTCTCTATCACTTTTACCCATTCTGAAAAATCCAATTTGCTACTTTCCCCCCCAAACAAAGGCAGCATTTTTAGCTGAGTGCCCTCTAAGTGGCCTCTGAGGAATCAGGCAGGGAGCGGGCAGCCCAGAGCCCCTGGCCTCTAGTGTTTGACATAACCCACTCCAACAGGTGCATAGGCCCTGCCGCTCTTCAGACTTGGACAGCAGAGGCAAGGGAGAGTGGCCTCATTTTCTGCTGCTGCAGTGAGCCTTGGCAAACCCCCAAAGAGCAAAGATACAATGCTACAGTCTGTGGCTGGAGGCGTTTGAAACACCACTTGGTGAAGTCTGGGTTTCTCTCTCTCTCTCTCTCTCTTTTGGGTTTAATTTTCTTAGAACCACTCAGAGAAGATTGCAGTTTCAAATCTCAAGTAATGGCTTCAATCAGTCAATCAACAAATATGTGCTGAGCACTTACTACGTGCCTAGGTTTTTGCCTAAGTTCTAGGGGGTGACTAAGTGTCTAAGGAAGCCTAGGGCCTTACCTCTCGGGTGGTCTTCCCCACCAGCTTTAGGCAGGAAGAGGTTCCAGCTAGGGTAATAGTCAGAGAAGCAGCAAATAACTGGCCATGGCTTGTTGCTGGGAAAGCAGGGTCAGTTTTGAGAAGGGGTACAGCAATTGGCCTCTCCTCCTGATGTCTGTCCCAGGCTATATTTAGACACTACTTGGGATGGTGAGGTTGAGCAGCTGAAAGTGCACAGGGTGTCAGGATGAAGTTGGCTTAGACTGGGAATTTGCCATCATGGACGCAGACGTCTAAGACTTCTCCATCCTCCTGTGTGAGCTCAGGTCTGTCCTGACAGGCCAAAGTTAAATAGGGTGCCAAGGTCCCAGGACAGAGTAGGGACATGAACTGTCCTAGAGGAAAAGCCCAAGTACCTGAAACTGAGAATAAAACTTCTACCCCTAAGGAAAGAATACTGAGTCAAAATGAATCATAGAAAGGATATTTTCTCCAAAACAACAGAGAGAAAGAAAATCCTCTTCTTGTAACAATGGGTATGTGTATGAGGAAGTGGAAATTTAAAGCTTCTCCAAATATTGAGTTGTTTCCTTTTATTTCTGGTTGGTGGGACACACCGTTGGAATGTTTTTCTCAAAAAGGGGATTGCGTTTTGTCACTGTTCCAGGACGATCAGGATGAAGTGAACCAGAACTACTTAGCAGATGAAGAGGAGGAAGCAGAAGAAGAGGCTCAGGTGATGGTGGTGCCCAAATTGGAGGAGGAGAAAGAAGAGGAGAAGAAAGAAGAAGAGGAAGAGGAGGAAAAGGAGGAGGAGGAGGAGGGTCAGGGTCAGTCAACAGGCAATGCCTTGTGGCAGAAATTGCAGATCCTGAACGAATATCTGTGGGATCCGGAGAGAAGGATGTCTCTGGCCCGAACAGGTCAGAGTTGGAGTAAGTCCCAATCGTCCCAATGCCCCAGTCTGGTGTCCTTTGCTTTTGGCATGGTGTCCAGGGCTCCTTTACCATACGCTGGAATGGGCTTGTCTGCAAACTTCTCTTAGTATTTCATGGAAAGGCACCAATCGATGCCTAGGGAAATACCTGCACTGTGGACAGATTCCATCAGAACAAACTCCCAATGGATAAACCAACTTGATCGTGTCACTGGAATACACTGGGGTCAATATCAGTTGCAATGCACAGAGACACTGGGGATGAGTTGAAAAAACATAGGATTTTTTTTTAAGTCCCTGTCCTGTCATTTTCTATCCATCTGACCTTGGACCCGCCATTTACCCTCTCTCAGCCTCAGTTTCCTCACCTTTCCTGAGGGCAATGATCCAGGCCCTGTCTTTCTTATAGGATCAGAATGAAACTCCAATAAAATGTTAAAATTGTAAAGTTGAAAGAACTATGCCAAAGACTATTTCTAAGATATGAGACCCAAGTCCCTGCCGACCTGACCAAGGGTTTTTATAAGGCCTCATCATTTCACTTTATAATGTCAGAGACGGAGAGCCAGGAGGCCTGCCCCCGGCCCTGGCTGGTGGGTGCTTTCCTCTCCAGTGGTAGGCACGGAGGAATGTAGGTTTAAGAGGATTGTTCCTGGAGATTAAGGCTGAGCCTCCACGTTGATTGAGCAATGGCAGAATTGGATTCCTTAGCATTTCCTCTTTGTACCACGTGCTGCCACCATTCTCACTTTATAACTTCCCCAGCATCCCCCTTCCAGGGTCCTACCCACCCCTTAAACTATTAATGCTAAGCCTTTCCCCCAGGAGATTTAGCCAGTGGTAAAATTCACACTTGCCACACTCTTCATAGTCCAGAAAAAGGGCAGCTGGTGGTTTGGAACTCAGTCGGTCTACAGAAGAAAAATAATAGCGGATGCTACGGATGAAAGAGGAGTCCCCTAGTGCCAAGGATCTAGGTTGGTGAAGTTGATGGCTGTGCCTTCTAAAGGCCCCCTTGGCTGAGAATTCTGTCCCTCGTAAAGTTGCACCCTGCTAGTTAATTCAGCTCAGTCAGGGTGAAACAGCCAGTCCTGCTTCCTGGAATTAGGAAGAGCAGGTGTGGGGCTCTGAACAACACCCACCTCCCTTCATCCTTCCTCAGTTCCCAGCCCCACCCCTGCCCATCCCTCAAACTCTCAACTGGAACAAATGTACAATTTAAGGGACATTCCGACATTCTGGAAGCTGCAGACAAATGCTGGGCACTCCTTGAGGGCTCCAAAGGCAGCCCAGCTGTTTCTCTCTTGCCTAAAGAGGTCTGGAAAAAACAGGCCTTGTAAAATGCAAGCGTGATTCTGGGCGTAGGGGCCATACCTTAACCCTTAAACAGCCAGCCCCCAGGACTTCACCAGATGAGTTGAGCCAAATTGCTTCTGTGGAGGACAATTCCCAGGCCAACAAGTGGGGATGGGGGGGGGGAAGGTTCAAGTGTCCAGGGAAGAATGGCAGTGGGAGCACTGCATGGTAGGCCATAGACAGACCTCTGGGTTGCAGGTCTAAGGAGAGCCCAGGAATTCTTCTGTTGGGCTACTCTGGGCAAAGGGCAAACAGTAATTTTTTTTTTTAATTAAATCATAGCTGTGTGCAATAATGCAATCATGGGGTACAGTGTGGTATTTTGATATACAATTTGAGATATGTTCATCAAACTGGTTAACATAGCCTTCATGTCATTTTCTTAGTTGTTATGTCAAGACATCTATATTCTACTTTTAGAAAGATTCACTTGTACCCTTGTAAGAGAAACCATAGAGGTGATCCCTCCAATCACCCTTCCTCCACCCATCCACCCCCCTCCCCTGACAAACAGTAATGTTAATACCTCAGCCGTAAAGCACATACCTAGCTGCCTTCCTTCCTAAGAACTAGGTGCCCCTTAAGCATTTACTAACCCTGTTCCAATCTGGACGTCAACCTGCCCAACAAATATACTCAGCCTGTTACTATAATCTGGGCTTTTCCTTTGGTAGCTGGGCAACCCCTATTCTTAGGAACTATATGTTATTTTATTGGATACTGACAAGAACCATATGAGGTAGTAATATTATTATCCCCATTTTGCAGATGCAGAAACTGAGGCTTAGAGAGGGTAAGTAACTTGTCTAAAGTCATGCAGTTACTAAGTGACAGTGCTGGGATTCAAACCCAGGTTGGATGAACACCAGAGTTTATTCTCTTACCAGAAAACTACACCATTTTCATGAACTCTAATCATGAATAAAGTCCTAATGGGTAGGGTCTCAGGATCTGGTCAGGTGCTTTCATGGGAGGAATGAAGAATTGGGAGCATGGGCACTTAGTGGTTTATCCAAGCCTGGGAGGGGCATTTAGGAGAGAACCCTAGATTTCCTAGAGGAAAGGCCCAAGTAATACCGGAACATCTGGGGCAGAAAAGGTTAGAGGGATCAGTGGGTTCAGATGGGAGCCCTGCTTGGTTTTGCCTGGGGGTGGCTGAAATAGTCTATGACTCCAGGGCAACCACTCCTGAGTGAGGCTGAGGGGACTTATTGCTAGTGCCATTGTCCTATCTACAATTTCCTGGCCACACACCCTGGGAAAGAAGGAGGATAACTCCAAGGAAATGTACCTGTACTTCATTGCTTTCTCTTCATCTAAGAAACTGAATCTTCTGGTCCCTCAGGATGACTCCAGGTGTTGATCCATTCCCAGGATGGGGATGGGGTAGAGGAATGGAGGAGGAAGCACAGGGAAAACCTCAGGAGGATAGCCAGTGGGCAGCAGGCAGGCAGCACAGGTACACAGGTGCTGTAGTTTCTTCTCCAGGGATTCCAATTGAATCAATGTGTTCAAGTTCCAGTTCTGCTTTAGTTCATCTAATAAAACATAAAGGGTCAGTTCCACTTCTAGTTGGATTGCTACAGTGTTTCCCTCCTCCCCCCACTCCGTTTTTAGTGAATTTTATTCAGTTCATGGTTCAATTTAAAAATTAATATTTGGATTCAGTTTGGGGTACAGCAAAGTTATGTGGTTTGTTCCAGTTTCTGGTTCATGATTCAGTTCAAATCTGTAGTTCCAACATCATGTCATTGCTGTGAGCAGAGCCAAGTACTGTTGCCTGAGAGAACCCCGAGGAAGACTTGAAAAATTTCTCGGCAATATCATGCTCATTCATTTGGGGAAAACCTAGTCTTACAACAGCCCACAGAGGGAAAATTCACACAACTGTGCTTCTGGTTCTATTGCACTAATAATAATAATAATGTTAATAATAACAATGACAATGACTGCCATTTATAAAGCACTCAGTATCTGCCAAGTTCTGTGCTATGCTTTTATATGCATTATTCAATGCTATGAAGTGAGTGCTATTATTTTATAGTCCTTATTTTATAGATAAGAAAATTGAAACCAGAGAAGCAAACAGCGTGTCCAAGATTAAACAGCTAGGAAGTGGTATAGTCAGGATAGAACGTAAGGAAAGGCTGAATTTCAGATATTGTTAGGGATATAGATCTGACTATGAAGTAAATGCTAAACTTTCCCCCACTTTCCTGTGAGGAATCAGAGGTGCAGAGAAGTTCTGTAACTTGCCCAAGTTCACAGGCAGTAAGTGTCAGTGATTAAGTACCATTTCCTCCTCCTCCTCCCTTCCCCACCCTGCTCGTGTTCTTTTTGAAAAGCAGAGCCACTTAAACTTGTGCTAAAGATGAATAAGATTTGAAATAAGTAGGGCAAACTCTCACTTTGCCTTGATTAGAGGCAAGTCCAGTGGAAATTAATCAAAAGTTTGAATTATAGACTATGTGAAAAGAGATGCTGTTTTCATCACTTGCAAATACATATAATCACTGGAACCAAGCTGCTAGGACTCTTCAGGGCACCTGCTTTAATGAATAGAGAAGAATGATTTGTACTTAGGACATCAACATTGCCCAGAAGACTCTCAAGCAATTTGCCCTCTGCAGTACTTTAAACTCCACTCCCCTGTAATCTTGTTCATGATCGTCATTTGCTCAGCAAGCCCTTCCATCGGAGATGCTGTAAAGGTAAACTGCAATCAGACTCCTGACACAATCCTCACTGATTCTAAATTGGTGAAATCTGAATAAGCAAGGACATACTGAACCTGGGGGAGTTCTTTAAAAGCCATCTCTTGTATGGGTTGGGTCTGGTTCACGAGTTCAAGTGGGGAGGTGGGGCTTGTTGGCAAGCACTGACCACTCTCCTCTTTGATTACTCTGCAGGCCTGATCTTAGTCATCTACTTCTTCTTCTATGCCTCCTTGGCTGCTGTGATCACCCTCTGCATGTACACACTGTTTCTGACTATCAGTCCTTACATGCCAACCTTCACTGAGCGGGTGAAGCCTCCTGGTGAGTGTGCCCAAATGCCCTATGTTGTCAGAACTTGCTGGACAGAAATCTGCTTGCACAGCAGGTTCAGCCTCAATTAACTTTGGCTCTTCCCGGTAATGACTTAGAGATTCAATTATTAAGAGTAAAAGTAAAATGGTACTTGGCAAATTATGGTCCTTTTCATTTTGATTGCCTGGGGGGAAATGGTTTCATGGGAATCAATACCAAAAAATGATCCCAAGAATGGGTTAATATATCCAAGGCCTGTTTTCATTACCAGGAGTTATGATCAGACCCTTCGCCCATAGCCTTAACTTCAACTTCAACGTTTCTGAACCTGACACTTGGCAGCATTATGTGATTAGCCTAAATGGCTTTCTCCAGGGTAAGTAAGTTCCTCTGGATAGTGGAAAGCTCTTTTGAAAGGTGATGGGTGGGAATTCAAAATTCAAAATTCACCTGGCCCAGACATCCCAGTCTTCCTAACTCCAGCCCATCATGGTCTTTCCTTGCCGTTCACCCCATTCAGCACCTGTACATACAATTAAAACTGCTCTAGTGTGTGATAGAATGTTGCCTTGAAAGCATACTGAGCAACTCTCCAGCAAGACCATAAGCTCCTTGAGGTAGAGAGCTTGTTTTCTCTTCTTGAACATCCTACAGCAGCTAATTGAGTCCCTAGCACATGCAGGTGGCTCAATAATGATCATTTATAAAAGATAATTCTGGGGGGAGATAGTGGTGAGAAAAGGAGAATGTTCTCCAGAGCTGGAAGATTCCTGCCTTCTATACTTTTTCAAGATAAGAGAATTAATTTCTTGGAGATAGGCTATCTTGAAGGGAATGAACAAGCATCTTTGTTTAACATTATTCCAGAAAGAAGTTAGAAGAAGAATCTCTGGGCGGCAGTGAACTCCAAATTTTGATCCCAAATATTTTCAAGATGTCTATCTCTGTAGCATCATCAGATAAATTTTCAGAGACAAATGAATGAGTTTGTAGGCCCTTCCACATGGTTAAAGTTAAGGTAGCAGCTTGGTTAAGGTTAAACACAGAGCACACAGGTTCTGTACTTATCCAGCTATCATAGGGGAGCTCTTGTGGGGTTTGCATTGCTTCATCTAATCTTCATGGGGAAAAACATCCGATTAGTCTTGCTTGGTTGTCCTGGCCTGGTTGAAGCTGGGGAGTGGGGTAGCTAGTAGAATGCACACTGAATTAGGAGACCAATCTCTTCTCATGTGCCAGGAAGTGTTATTTAACTACATAAATTTTGTCATTTAGCTTTACCTGTGCCTAATAGACTTAGTTGATTGTCCCCATTTTACAGAGGAGGCAAACTGAGGCTCTAAAAGGGGAAATAACTTGATCAAGTCTCCCAGCAGCAGAACCAGTACTTGAACCCACATTCATGTTTCAGATGCCTTCGCTACTCAAGGTGTCATCCAGCGACCAACATCAGGAACATCACACCTGGGAATTTGCTAGACAGAGAAAGGCAGAATCTCAGGCCCCACCCCAGACTTGTTGGATCAGAATCTGTGTTTTCACAAAATCCACAAGTGATTTATATAAACCTTAAAGTTTGAGAAGTGCTGCTTTTCCCTAATTCTATGCTGCCATATGATCAGGAGTTAGAAACTCAGCTTTATATCAGTAATGCTCGGTGTTATTTTGATTAAGCCTGAGTTGAAGATTCCTCACCTGTAAAATGAAGGGAGGCTGGATTCTTTCTGAGTCCATGTAGTTCCATTTTTGGCCACAAAAATATTTCGGACATCGTAGCCAACACAATCTCTTCTTTTCTTTCAAAATGCTTGGGAGCTATTGAAAATATATTGCCAGAATCTCTGCTGAGGAAATCCCTCTGAGAAGCTAGTAAGTGGAGAAATACCAATTCTGACCTGGTGACAGAGACAGGGAATGCTAGGAAAAGCGCTGAGTTTTTAGCTCCTGAGAGCAGATAATATGTCCTGCTAAAAAGAAACACATCTCTGAAATAGGCATCCAAGAGTATCAGTTTCATTCCCATGAGGACTGGGATTTTGTAATAAGGGTCATACTCATGTCACATTATTTTTAACGGAACTATCTCAAGAGAAACAATGAGCACGTGGTTGCAGCTTCTATTCAGAAAGGTATTATTTGAGCATAGCTCTTGTTCTAAAAAAAATTTTAAAGCCCTGAATTAAGTGTAGTTTTGTCAAAGGAAAAAATAAAAGGCGTAGCTATAATTGAAATAGATTTAAAATTCTCAGTTGCCACTTAATGATATCATACCCAAGACATAGCTTGTGTAGCTGGGGATCCAGCAGTGTATTTTGACTTTTGCTTCTGGCGAATCATAGGTGCACAATCGCCTCTGAAATACTGAGCTATGGGGCACATGAATACATGAGGACTAGATCCAACAGGACTAACTGGGTTCTATCATTTAGAACCAATGTGGAAAAAAATGCAGCTATTTCCAAAGCCAGTTTTATGGGCTCCTCTGGTAGCCCAAAGAGCCACCTCACCTTTCCGATTTCTCCCTGAGATGTGTACCCTGGGCACATGTTACATTCCATCCGATGTGAAAGGACACCAACCCCCAAATGGTTTAGGCCTCAGTAGACAAGATCTCACCCCCTCACCCTCTCAGTGGCTACCCTGTGGTTGATTGTCCTTGGTTTCTATCTTTTAACCTAAGCTTCTATTTTGCAGTAGTGCTAACTGCCCTCTGGAAAAGATGAGGAACTGGTTTATCCCCCTCCTCCTCCCCTCCCCCTTCTCCCCTTCCTCTTCTTCCACTTTCCCTCCGTTCCACAACACATACTTCACACCCTCTTACAATCACGTGCCTTTCATTGAACTCAAAGGGAGACATTTCCTAAGATGAACTTAAAGAGATTTAATCTAGGAACTTAGCCTCCTCGTGCCTCAACATGATTCAGTCAGTCCCTTTCCCCAAATCTACCAACTGTCTGCCTATTCCTCTTCCAGAAGCAGAGGAGGAAGCTCTCCAAGTTTACGGTTTACCGTATCTGAAAAGATATAATGGGAAATAGAGAGAAGTTATAAAGTGAAAGACTATTACCCAGAGATGGAGATCCAGAAGTTCGGAGGGAACAAGCAGAGGCAGCAATAAAAGTGGGCTGAGGGGAGGAGCCAGGAAGGCTGGGGGGGGGCGGGGATGTTGCTGATGAAGGCCACACCAGGTCCTAGGGCTTCAGGTAGATGGAGGGGGCCTTCCGGGGAGCACAAGCAAGCTGGAGAGAGGAAACGTGGGAGGGAGGACTGCGGAACACCTGGCCTTCCCGGTAGCACCTGCCTAACAACGCTTTGCCACCCACACACGCTTTAGGTTATAACGACAGTCTTCAAGAGGAAATGAATGTAGATTGTCCCCCGGGACAGTATTTCATCCAAGATGGTGATGAAGAGGAGGACAAGAAGGCCTGTCAATTTAAGCGTTCCTTCCTGAAGAACTGCTCTGGTCTGGAGGACCCCACTTTTGGATATTCTACTGGACAGCCATGTATTCTTCTAAAGATGAACCGGGTATATCAGCTCTTGATATCTGGTGATGATAAGTGGATGAGCTGAGTAGGAGGGCTCTGGCCACTCCGTCTTCACGCACCGCAGGTTTGGCCATTTTACTGACAGCATTAGAAATACAAACAACCAGACGAACCCATCAAATCCCTTTTCTCCCTGAACACTTCCTATTACTATTCTCTCCCCCACCCCCAGACTTGCCCCCTGATGGACTCTGTCAAGAATGAGGTCCTGAGCTATTTGGAAGAGGGGATCGGGTGGGATGGGAGATAGTCCTTATGTCATGGAAAATGCATTTTTCTTCTCTCCTGTCATGACTTAGGTTTTGCAGAGCCTGATCAGGCCCACCCCTCTTGAAATCAGAAAGTTCTTTACAACTTTAGGGTTATCTTGCTGCAATTCCCCTTAATCAGGCACGAATACAAGGAATAAGCTGGGCTGCATAGCTCTGGAGATGTTTTTCCTATCTGCTGTTTGGAACATTTCTGAGAAGGCAAAATAGATGAAGCTTGTGCCTGAGGAAGGATAATTCATTGGGGAGGGGAGGTAGAAAACCCACATTTTTTACTATTCAATCTGTTTTGTTAAAACAACAACAACAACACTGGTTTTCTTTTGCTAGATTGTAGGCTTTCGTCCCGAGCTTGGAGATCCTGTGAAGGTTTCCTGCAAAGTTCAGGTAAAGTGCCCTTTTGAGTAAGCATTGTTAGCACATCTGTTACATGCAGAAAGGTGGTTCATCCTTTCCAAGGACTTAGACACAGACCATAGGTTACCATAGGTTAGGTTAAGGGTTAATCTTTTTATAACTACACCTCCCTTCAGTGTCTCAGGCCTTCCTCTTTCCAGGAAGCATTTGCGTGTGTTTGCGTGTGTAGTTGTGTGTATTGTGTCGGTGTGTCATAATTTATACCTGTAAAGGCCAAAGACTGAACCGCAGCTAAGGGCCACAGCAGGGAACAAGGATATGCCAAGTCATTAATTGGGATTCTGTTTACACTTTTGATTTTAGCTCTAATTACTTGTTTCTTTGAACTAAACAAACAGCTTTCATTAGAGTCATTAGTCCCCAATTTTAAAACTGAATTTCACATTTTGCAGCAATGACCGGTAGCACTGGGTGTTGCAATAACAAATGACTACAAGGGAAGTATAAACAGAACTCCATTAATATGCTAATTAACTGTCCTTTGAGGGACCATTAACTCCTATCTCATCTGCACCAATTAGTTCCTTTGTAGGAGAAAGCCCTGGATCTTGGGTTTGCTTCTTAAACAGGCAGTAGCTCCCTCTGGTTGGATGACATCAACTGTGCACCATCACCCCTGGACAGTTGTCTTGCAAAGGTGGGAGGCCAGGCAATGCCATTCTCAGCTGAAAACTTCAGTCTTTGTTGTGGCAGATCAGAAAACAATATTGCAAAAGGCAACATTTATCCAGTCAATATCCTGCATTCAGCAAGCATTTATTGGTCACTTGCTATATACCACGTCCTTTGCTAGCTAGGTGGTAGGAATGCTGAGATAAATATGACTCTGTCTCTGAAATCAGGGCAATCAAGTATTACAGGTGCTATGAAAATTGTAATGGGAGTTACAGTTGAAGAGAAAGGTTGGTTCCATGTGGGAAGTGTTGACACTGAAGATAAGCTTTAAAAAGTCAGGCTGCATTTGCCAGGTGAACAAGGTAAGAGGGACATTCACTCTGTTATGTGTAAATATTCACTCACGTGAGATGTGACTACAAACTAGCAGAACTGATTCCACAGGCCATTCTCAAAAAAAAAAAGAATTTTCATTGCTTTTTAAAATATATAAATAAAACATAAAGACCGACTCAGTCTTAAACTAGCATATTTAATTGGCCTGAGTTCTGCTTTTAAGTTCCCTAATGGAAGCTGTTCATTTTTTCAATTTACATCAAACCTTGCTGAGGACTATCCTTTTTTAAAAAAGAAATATTATGAGTCTCTATACATTGTAAAATAATCAAATGGTCAAATCTACACCCATTCGTGGAAATTGTGCAGGATGAGGTAATGACTAGAATAAATAAAGAAGAACTTAGTTTGTAGTGAGAACAACTGTAGTATATTGACGGAAATAATCACATGACTCTAGTAATTAATTTGCTAGTAGTTATGCACTATTCATCCGTAGTAGCCCCCAGGCCTCTGCTGTTGAGGGCAAGCCTAATCCATAGGCAAAATGGGCAGCCCCCTACCTAACATAATGTGATGAGGGTAGACCTGTTTACTTTAATCATTTCCGTTACCTGTGTCCCACTTACGTATCCTCCTGACTCCACCTACTGTAGTTAAGCACTACAAAGAATATGGTCAGAGACATGAGTTTAGGTGACCCAGGGTAGGCTGGGTGCCTATGCATATGGTCCCTATGCACTTGATCTCACTTCCAATAGAACCTAGCCTACAGTGTGCAAGTTGTGGAGTGGATTTACTAAACATGTTCTGACTTACACCTGCCTCAGCTTTAGAGTCTAAGACTGGGTGCTAGGTCCAGTATGATTCTTTGGAAAAGGATGAGAGTGGTAGCCCTCTTTCCGGAGCAGCACCAGGTACTGCAAGCCCTTTGGATCTCTTCTGTCTGGGTCCTCTAGAAGCCAACAGCGAGCCATACTGAGCACGTTTCGTTTCCTCAGCCCAGGCCTTCTACTTGGAATTCTTTGAAATGAAAAGCCAAGGAAGAGTCTCTCCCTGGAAACACTTCCCTGGGGATAGGTCAAGGCTGAGCTTTGCCCTATTCTGCTTTGTGGTTGTCCTAGGACAGTTGGTTGTGGGCACACAGTGATATCACCTGGGGCACAAGTCTGTTTAGCTTACACTCTAACTCATTATATGACCCAGCACCCCACATATACTTACTTTTGCTTACAGAGAGGTGATGAGAACAACATCCGATCCATCAACTACTACCCAGAGTCGGCTTCCTTTGACCTCCGCTACTATCCTTACTATGGCAAACTGACTCATGTAAGCTGTAGCCCCTTCAGTCACTACTGTCAGAAAGGGGTCCGAGACGAAGGGCTGGCTGGGATCTATGAGAGTTAGGGAACAGTAGGGAGTAGCATAGGCCTGAATAGCTGCTGACCATAACCAGGAGCTCTCTCTACCAAATTCCTATCACAACCACACTCCTTTCTGCATCTGGAAGAATCTCATATATGGTATGGTCTAAGCACCTCTGTGAAATTGGGGTTCAGAGAGAGGAAACGACTTGTCCAAGGTCATGTAGCTAATCAGTGGCAGGAGCAGACAAATTACTACCATTGCACTCAAACGTACCAAATAATTGCACTTCCCTGTTGCCCTCATTTGTAGCCTTGGGCTACATCTCCGGCACAGAGACTTGATAGATAATAGTTTTGTTTTGATTCATGGTTTGATATCCAGTAAATCATATCACAATGAGTCAGAATTGTTTTTCCCCAGAGGACAATCAAATATTTGCCAGTGACTTATGAGAAAAATGTGTGATTGCCACACCCTTTCTCAAGGCAGGAAGAGCATGTCAGTTGCCTTGGCCATTTGTGACTTGGCATCGTGGGATTTACTCAGTTCCCTTTGTGGAGGTTATCCCATCCTGCACTGATTATCTGATCACTTCTCTCCTGCTACTTCTGCACACTTAGAACTCGTTGTTCTTCCCCCTACAGGTTAACTACACCTCTCCCTTGGTGGCAATGCACTTTACAGATGTCGTGAAGAACCAAGCAGTGCCCGTGCAGTGCCAACTGAAGGGCAAAGGCATCATAAATGATGTCATCAATGATCGTTTTGTGGGCAGGGTCATCTTTACCCTGAACATAGAAACGTAAGAACTTTAGGGGGCCAACCCCACCAGTTCTGTTTCTGTTTTATCTCATGCTATCCCTGTTAGCACCTGAGTCCTTTGTCTTTAATTCCGACACAGCCAGATGGGCATCTATAACAACAAATCATCTTTCCTTGCCTTTGACATGTGTCTAAAGTGACATTGTGGGAGCTGTTTGATTTTTTAAAGGTAGTCTCTCCTGATGACAAACAGATTGATTTCCTTTCCCTCCATTTAAAACTAAAACCTGTTCTTGCTGCTAGAAATTTCACTGTAGTGTAAACATAGTATTTCATAAAATTCACAGTAGCCATGAAGAATTTCTATGATGATTAGAAATTCATCATGTTCTCTAAAATTCCGAGGGTTTGAGAGGTGAGATTCCTCCCAACCAGGCTGATACTCTAACCCCCTTTTTCGAAACCTTGGCAAGGTAGTTCCCTGGGAATCACCACTCAGACAAATCCAGACAACACTTAGGGCTGCTATACCTGTAGAATTCCATATCCAGGAGTGCTTGAGAAACTGGCTGCCTCCCACATGCAATTAAATACCAACCTGAAGACTAAGTTATCTTCAACTGGGACAGAAAGCAGTGCTCACCGGATATTGTTCTGGGATAGAGATGAAGACATATTCTCTGGCTTTCTTAAGAGGTAGAACCCACTTATCATATGGAGGTAATTGGTGTTTGGTTCCTTGTTCTATGATAAAATCATCTAAAGGCAAACATTCCTGAAAACAGCTTTGTCTCAGCTTCAAGCAGAGAAGAAACTATGGGAGAAGATCTCCACCAGCTAATTATTCTTGAGCTCTTTGTTTGACAGTAGTGTGATGTTCTTTCTTTGAGACCATCAGGAATGGGTGTGCTGACCCCCCTCCCCAGCTACAACTCTGGAGATTGAAATCAGGGTCTGCCAATTCATGCATGACAAGAAAGAAAGCTCTTGCCAGGCCATCGTAAAAGCCAAGGCTCATTAGCCAATTTTGCATTTACTTTCAAAATGATGTGAGGCAGATGTTTATCCATGTTGTGGATCAGCCAGGTCACTTTGTCTTATCTTTGGCCATGTGATCATTCCACTGCTTCTTAACACCTCCAGTAGGGGGAGGACTGGGACAAGGAGAAAAGGCAAGCACCAGGGAATAGCATAGTGTCTCAGCAACTTAAAGTGTCACCTAGAAGCATCCAGAGTCCGAATCTCCTCTACAATGTTTACTTTCTCCCCAAACAGGGAATCGATAGTCTGGTAGTGAAGATAAACGAGTGGAGAAGTAACCAGGATATAGTGTGATGAGAGGTAGAAAACTAGTATAGAGAAATGCTATGGGAGCATGAGGAAAAATAACTAGCTTGAACTGAGAAAGTAGCAGAGGAAATTTCATATGCAAAACCACAATTATGTGTTTGGGTAACTGTGAACTGTTCATGTAACTGCAGTGTAAAGACTCAGAGGAATGGCAGGGAGTGGCAAAGATTTAGCCTAAGAGAGGTATTTAAGATCTTTGGGTTTTATCCAGTGGGTGAAAAGAAGTCATTAAAGCATTTTAACCAGGGAAGCCCTGTGATCACATTTGCATCTTATAGAAAGAGCACTTTGGCAACCACAGTGTGAAGAGTGGATCGGAGGGAGACGAGAAGGCAGAAATGGGGCATGAAGAAGAAGGACGAGTCAGGAATTAACTCCACGGGGTTAAGCTTGGCTAGAACCAGTGAGATGGTGATAGTGGTGATTAAGACTGGGAATACAAGAGAAAAGCAGGTTTGCAGAAAAAGATGCTGAGATCAGTTCTGGACATTTGGCTTGTGATTTTCTACTGGTCAGATATCGACGTGGAGATGTTAACACATGTAGGGCTGAGGAGAAGGACAGATGAAAACAAAAGTCACATTTGATTATGTAAACTCACCTAGGAAATTTTAAGCTATTTAATCTTGGGAATTGAAGCCAGTTCAGTAAACACACTACACCAATCTAGTCTGGAGCAGTGTTTTTTCTTTTTTTTTTTCTGTTGGCTTTGTGGCAGAAAAGACTGCTGTTCTTCTTCAGAATCTCCTTCCCAGACACCTTCCGAGTCTTATCACCAGAGTAGAGGGGGGCTGACCACTATTAACAAGTGTTAGAAGATATAGGACAGCAGGTCTATGGAAAATAGGAAAAAAAAGAAACTGTCTCCTGCTAGCCTATTTCCTTAACAAATTCAGTTTTCAAAACTAACCACTACAAAGAAAAAGAGCAACATGAAAAAGACAACTTTAAATCCATTTAAAAATCTCCTCAATTTTAAAACTCACCTTTGAAAAGGTGAAGGACAAAATGAAACATACGATAACTTTTAAATAATTTTAATGACCTCAACCAATCAACCTGTCCAAATTCAGTAGTGAAAGATAATAGGACATTAGATCTGGAAAGGATCGTTAGAGAGCATTTAGAGAAAACAGCCTGCATTGCATCTGACTCCAGGTCCAGTGCTCTTTCTACTCTGAGCTGCTGCTTACCAGGAAGTACCATCTTTTTAAAAATCAATGAATGTTATCCCAAACATTTTGAAACATATGTCAAATCTGAGTTGAAATAGTTACCATTTCACAGGAATTCAACTACTGGTGCTATATTTTATACATACTACATTATCCTGTTAAATGTGTTGACTATTAGACAAGGAATTATGAATCTTTTGCGAAACAGTATTTCTCATTCAGTGGAATCTGCTGTGTCCGCAGTTTCAAAGCAGTATTGAGGAGTACTATGTTTGGGTTGTCAGCTAGGACACGAAAAAATAGCTTTACCGTACAGAACTGGCCATGATAACATAGTCGTTAAAGTTAGATTCTAACTGTTTAATAAACTTCTAGTGGATTAATTGAAATAGAACCCATACTGTGCTGTGTCAGGATTTGATCTGTATACCATCTGTTGCAATGCACTTGGTTTTACTTGACTGTCGGTGAGAAATACTCCCTCCAAATGTCTTCATAGTTTTGTCCATGCTAGATTGGGTTATGATTTTTTTACCTTCCACCCCTCTGAAATTATTTTCCTAAAGTTACCTTTCTTAAGCAACCTTTTACTGGGGGTGTAGAAAACATTTATATTGTCTTGGGTTGTTGTTGACAACAATAAATTGAAATAAAAAAGAAATGTATGATTTCCTCCTTCTAGACTGTATCACTCTTTTCCCACAGGAATTTTGGGCAGCCACGTGGGTGGAAAACTTGACAATTGACAACCTATTTGTTGAAGACTATTTTTCTCCCTCTCTCCCACGCCCACTGTTTTCGACTCTTGGGGTTTAGCCATAGGAAGGTGAAACTAAAAGTTGTTTTCTTTCTGGGTGTTTTTTTCCTTTTCCAGTCTCCACGCTTGGTTTCTCAGAAGACTGTTTTGTCAGAGCAGCCTTTTTTCATCAGGGCTGAGTCCTGGTATAAATTGTTGTTTGTTTGTATAGGAAAAGAACACTAAGAGAAACTTTGAGGTGGGGGGATGGAACGAAAATCCAGAGAAACTCTGCGAATATTTTGATATAAGTCTGGCTAAGTGACCTTAGGGCACGTCTGGCCACAAAATATCTTTCAGAGCAAATCTCTAGTGGCCATTGCAATTAAAGACAAAAATATTTCTGTTACTTATACAACTCAGAGGCTATGCTGCAGCAGGAATCCCTTTTTTCCTTTGAAGCTGTCCTGGCCTAAGGCTCCCAGTATATTTCCCCCTATCTAAACTCTTTAGCAGAGTAAATCTTTTTACTGATTTCCTCTTAAAATGTTCATATGTCATAGAGTAATTTAAGCAAATCATACAGAAGTGTTATTTACATTGTGATTTTATCCAGACTGAAGATGGAGCTTTGGGTATTTGTAAGGACTGATGGAGGCAAAGGCGAGGCAAGGAAGTTGAAAGACTACTTCACAAAGTTCTTAATGGCAGGCTAGAAGGAAAAAAGGGATGGTAGGGTTTTAAGAAAAGTTCAAGGAGGGTACGAAAGGCTCTCTCAGTCTGACAGATTATCGTCCAGAATGTACTTCCTTATAGGCTCTTGGACTCCTGTAACAGTCAAGGTCCTACCATAAAGAGATGGCACACTTGGCGAAATAGAATAATTATAGGAGGGTTTATTTACAACGGGATTACTTATAAAAGCATAGATGTAGGGGACCACCAATAGCACAGTAACCCAGCCTAGTAGGAGCTGACTTGTTACCAAGCATTGACCTTAAGATTCAGGGGCAAGAAGTGGTTGCTAGACCCAGAAAGAATAAGTCATGTACAGTTAACTGATTTGAGAGGACTGATAAAGACTAAGTTAGTCCATGGTGACCTTATAGGGGGAGGAAAATGGGAGAAAATACTTTCTTAATCTGGTATCCTTTGGTGCATTGTTTAGGATTCTTTTGCATGCAAGTGACCATGCAAACAAATGAACACAAAACCTCAAATTGACTTAGGGATAAAGGAGAATTTGCAAAATCACATAACCGAAAAATTCAGGTATAGTTTGCTTCAGGCATAGCCGAGTCCAGGAATTCAATGGTGTCATTCAGAACCAGTCTTTCTCCACCTCTCGATTTGGTTCTCCATCACAAACCAAGATGGGCAAGATGGCTGCCAGCCCTGCTGGGCCTCCATCTTTAAAGGCTAATAATGTCCACTTGAAAAGAGAGCTGCTTTTCCCTGAAAGTTCAAATAAGAAATAAAAATGTGGAGTCTGTCATTGGCTGGATCCTATGCTAATACTTGAACCAATCTCTGTGGCCACTGGGATAAATTTCTCTGATTGACCATGCTTGAGTCACCCCTAGATCTTTGGGTGGTATCACTATCACTCAAACTGCCTGGATTGAAAGTCAGGGAGAGGTGATCCTTCTGGGGAAAACTGAGGTTATGTTATGAAAGGAGGGTGACAGATAACATAGATGTTCACTACATTTTGCTAGTGTCCTGTCACATCCTACACCTGCTTATGATTATATCTGAACTTTTAGACTAAAATCTTTTCAAA